TTTAACCCAACGTTTGGGTTTGTCCATATTTGACCCAAAGTTGGATTAAAACAACCCAGCATTTTGCATTTTTAGGTTAGATTTTTACCAATTTTTTTAATGAAAGACCAAAAGAATAAACGATGCATTTATTTTTTTACAGACATTTTTGATCATATTTACCAGGGGTACCATTGATTCTCAACATTTTTTTATTTTGTCAAATCAACTTAGATAATTTATGTAGTTCAGATAACATAATATTTGAGTTTCTGATGATTAAATCAATCTCCTTCATTGTATTAACTCAATTTTTCCATTTCAATGGACTTAAAATATTAAAGCAACCAGGTTACTTTTTTTTTTTTAAGTTAAACCAACAATATTTTGTTACAGTGTGTATGTATCTGTGTATGTGTGTATGGGTCCAAAAACTACTGAAAAGTAGTGTATGTGCACAAATAGTTCTCTACAAGTTTCCTCCACACAAATTGACTAGCTAATATTTGTATATTAATTTGTAATTTTATGGGTTTACTACCCCATAAGTTTAACCATGCATACCTAGTTAAAAATCGTTAGCTGAATAAATCAAAGACAAAACAAATGCACAATTTAATTTTAGCCATTTATTTTGCCATCATAAAACAAAAGAACATTTTTCCAATGTAAGAAAAATAACTGTGATTTAATCAAGTGCACTTCAACAAAGTGTCTGTAGAAGCTGTACACCTTGCTTTGTGAAGTGAAGACATGAATCAAAAAAATATATAATCCATCGTCAGGATAAGGCTTTAAGGTGGGATGTTTAGACAGCCTGTGTCATGTGAATGCATTCAATTGACCTTCATTTCAAGCATCCTGTAAATCCTTTCCTGATTGAGTCAGATTAAAAACAAAACCAGAATTCTGTCATTCAGCCGCATCAAGCAACTCCCTAACTCAAAATGTTAAGCATAATTTGAGTGTGAACATTTGTGCCAAAACCCTTCTGCCAAATTTGCAGCTACTGAGGTTTCCGTGTCCTTTACAACAAACAAGTGGTCAATCATTTTACAATATCACATTACAGCAACAACACAAAGCATACAGGAGTAAAAGACGGCACATGGACGATATAGAGTTACGTTTAGTCAGCGGCGTGCACACATGAATGCAAATGTGCTTGTACGCGTGGACAAAACAAATGTCTCCGCAAAAAAACACAGACAATACTTTGCACCGATGGCTAAAAATGCACGTGCATCAAAAATGCATCACTTATGCATATCGACATGTTAATCTAGACACCTTGGACCGTTTGTGTTCAGTCTTAGGTAGTGTTCCTTCAGTGTTATAGAAATAAAATGAAACAATCACACACTGAGAATGGATGGGACATAAATACAAAATGACCAAGCAGCATTGTGATTCATTATTATTTACTATTGACATCATCAAGCAATATAGTGGTACATTTTCATTTAATCTTCCCTGTATAATTACACTGTTTACAATTTCTATACACTGTGTAACATACAATCGGATACATATGAATAAAAGGCAATACATAGCAGGACAGTTTGTGCAAACCACAGGGGTTATCAACAGCAGATGGCAGTGTTTCTCCTTCCATAGATCCTTTCAGAAAAGGGCGTGTTCTTCATCTGAAGCCAACAGCGCCAGCAAAAACATATTTACGTTGAAATTTCCAAATATGCTTGTTCAAAATGCGTCATTGTTGCTTTTTGAGGTTAAAAGTTGCTGCTAAAAACTCAGGCAGATTTTGTTTGCCATTGGCACAGACCATCCTCATTGGTTCACGTTTTTCATGACGGCACACAGGGTTCCATACATAACTACAGCTGGTTAGGTTGTATAAAGCCTAGGTCTCCAGATTATAATAAAGGAATGTTTATAGTTTGAATGCTTTCATACATATAGGTATTTGTCCATTTGAAATATTCTTAGACAAAAACCCAAGGATAAAATGAATATGGGTTAGATAAGTAGCTACAATAGTATGAATGCTGTGAGGTAGCCTGCTACAATGTTATAGCTGTGAAAACAGACTTCGATCCTCTAATACATATAATTTACAGAAAATAACAGTGCAAAACACACCACTCTCCATCACAGTGAAAAGAAAAACAGAATAATATGGAAGCTTTTAGCAAACAATGTGTATGAAGCAAAATTGTGTCTTATGGGTAAATGTGCAATGGCATTCATGGTGTTTTAAAGTGAAGTGAATGTTGACAACAATATATTAGATATTTCTATTGTTAATAGATACTGGTCATACACAAATATCATGGACAGGTCATATACATTCATATATGTCAACATCTAAATATATACAAGTATAGGCTATATATCTGGAATATAGAAATGTAAAAAAGAGGCATAAGTAGTGCTTTGCGTTATAATCTATCCTACGATTTGTACTATTATTTCCCCTCAGTAATAAATATGCAGAGGCCCAGGGGCTATTAATACTGTATTAGATCACAATCGATTAGATTAATTGAAAAAGCTACATGTTCGAAACTGGCGCATGCACTTATTCCAAATGAAGTGATGTTGGTTCTCATTAAAGGGGTCATTTCATGAGAAATCTCTTTTTTGGGGGGTGGGAGTTAACTTTAAGAAATCTAAACTCTCTCCTCAGTCCAAAAACACCCTTTACTAAAGCCAAGATACAAAAAAAGTCTCATTCCGAAATGTTTAACATTTAAGATGCCAATACTTTACCGTTTATACATCAACATGACCCAACCAGAAAAGCTATATGAACAAACTATGATAGATACTGTTGTTTCTAAACACTAGAACAATCATAATAATGATAAGAGAAATATTCTGTGTTGTTGTTGTCTGATGTATTTCAGTCTGATCTGAAAACGGCACATTTCAATGTGGACCATTGAGTGAACCTGCTGAAAAGACGCTGTTTGAAGGACAACCATCAATCTAACTAGTTTCATATGCAAAGAGGATGCTTACATAGAAGACTTAAAGGCACAGCAGCAAAAACGGCCTGTTTAATTGGATTAACGTTATAAGTGGACCTCGGGGGAAATTATTAAATGATAAAAATATGTATGATATGACCCCTTTAAAACCTGAAACAAGCCAGGAATGCAGCAACCCGAGTCAATTCCAGTGCTAAAGCGATGCCGTTTAAAAAAGACAAAGCTCGGCCCAAAGTAAACCAATCTAATTCAACGGCTACCTTAAAATATCTACGCTCCACATGCTTTGCACTCCTACCTCTGATCTTTGAACCAGCAATATAAAGGCGCACAAAGCCTCTGGGGTAATAAACCTTGTGTAAGGGCACATCATTAGGCAGTTGGCATGGCAGAGGCTCTCTACCTATCAGACGTGTCTCTCTGGTCAAGGCTGACTGTGATATTGTGGTGGACAAAATGTGGCATGAGACTTGGCAGTGAGAGACAGTGATTCCAGAGTAAAGAGATCTAATGGGGCTGATTCATTATCACTGCTGCATAGAACCGGGTTGAACCTGTTTGTAGCATCTGATGAAGCCGAGCTTCGACATACGGTTGGCTTGTTGATTGTATGCTACCATTTGTGGAATGTTAATTTATCTCATGTTAAAAGAGTGAATGGGTTGTGTGCTGGTACACAACAGTTTTGTCCTCCTGTTTAGTCCTGATTTAAAATGCTGGAAAGCCATAAAAAAATCTGGCTATAGTTCTGTAAATGAGTTAAAAGGTGTATTTTCATGCTTTTTTAATACCTAAATATCATATTCCTCCACATACAAATAGGAATGGGGTAAACACTCGCAGTATTTGTGGCAAATAGGAGCCCATAGGATGATTGTGCTCTACTTTACAGATGATGATTGGATTGGGCTAATCTGCTCCAAAAGTTGAATTTGTGAGATATACAAATAGTTGGCAATTGGAATGCTTTTGGTGTACCTGGTGAAACACAGACACTGATTATCATGGGAAATATGCAAAAGCAAATCAGTTGTGATGACATATAAAATGCTACCCTTGCTCCTTCTACAGCCTTAAAGGTATAGCGGAGGATCTTTCTGAATTTTAGAGAAGACCCGCCCTCTCCAATTTTAAAAAAAAAATGCACATGCACAAACACAACACTCTTGCTCCCGAGAGCTAGGGAACGTCTATACGCCTTGCACAATTATGTTGCAAATTCTAAACTAACTAAAAAACATTCATAAAAAAGACAACATGTCAAATGCCCTTCCGTGTTTTATTTACTTATTATACTGATCGATTGAGTGACCGAGGACTCAAGACATGATATGTGCAAAGCTCACACGAAATACGTTCTGAGGAAACTATTTTGCAAATCGCAATTACGTTACATAGCAACATATAAGCAGTGCTATTACGTTGGTCCTTAACCTAATATCTCTCATTGTTAATACGTTATTTTTATACATAGTTGCATATGGAGAAGTAGCTTGTTGCATTTGTGTAATAATAAACACACAAGATTTTAGAATATTTCAGCGTGATACATTACCATTTTGGACAAAAGGCTACTTTAGACAAATTGAGATGTTTACCGTGTCTATGCGGTGCATGACTCGTGCCAGGGCTAGCATTGTAGCTTGCATTAACTTTTACTAGTGATTTTAAATGGATTTCTCCAAATAGCGTGACAAACTTTAACTGTCTGGTAGAATCTTTGCGACTGCGGCATCAGTGAGAAGCCCAACCTGTGCTTTTAGCGCACGCCAGCGTGTGATATTCACCCAAAATCTCTCTGGTCTTGTTTCTATATTCTGCGGCCTTTCTCTTCTTATCATACACTTAGTAAACATTTTTTCTCTTTCGACCCTCAGCCATTTTCAAAGGAATGGCTGAAACCGTAACTCCGACATAATACACATGAAAGTGAAAACTACATAGGGATGAGCACGTAGCCTACGACGGCCTTACGTAAACATATCACCAGAATGATTGACACTTAGGTGGACCAATAGTATAGACTACCCACCCGGAAAAAGAAAATCCTCCGCTATACCTTTAATTATTCAGTAAATTTCCCTTTACCAGCCAGCTGGAAGCAGGAGTAATTATTCAGGATACTGACAACACCTCAGGTGACTGTGTATGTGAGAGTGTGTGTGTATGTGTTTGAATACACTTTGTATACCTCCATGCATATGCTCTGGATGTATGAATACATTCGGTTAATATACTAGGAAAGGAAATATTTTGCACACTAGTCTGACTGTGTGAGCCTGGATTTGTGAGTATATGTGGGGGTAGAGCATATTCTATCATTTGGTTTTCAACTTGCCCTCCTTTGCCAGCTTTTCGTTGAGTTGGCATAGCTGGCACAGGAATCCATCATTCGGGCCAATTTCTCTCTTGTGTCTTACTGTAGCTGTGGCAACTCGTACATCCATATTGTGACGGAGCATGAGGTAAGCGATGACGATGGTGGGCGAACGGCTGTAGCCCTCCCGGCAGTGAACATACACCTTTCCTGGAAGAAAAATAATTGTAAAAAATTATTCAAAAAGGCAGTGTTTGGAGCGCTACCATGATCTCATCCTTTAAGGATACAAATGTGGCTTCTGCCACAACATCCGTTTTATATATTACGTTGTGAACCTTCTCAAGTCAAGGCAACCTTCAGTCCAATTCCCATCCAAACATGCAAACACACACGTACACATCCATTATTGACCTGCCCACTCTCCAGGAGGAATTCACCTTGCCAGCCCTAGCTGTGCTTATTTGGCAGATAGAGCATAGGATCTGAAACCTGATGCCTCCTCCACCAGCAGCCTCACTTACTTATGTTCTCCTGTGAGTCTTTGTGCTGTTTATGCTTCAAGGAGATAGTCTTCATTGATTCCTAAATCTCTACTCCCTGTAGAACAATGTAGACCTACATATTCTCAAAATAGACTAGCCAGTTGGTAAATTTAAACAAAACATTAAGGATGTCCCCTTGTATACAGTAACTGTACATGATCACATAGGACACTTTTCCGCACCAGCTGGTACAAATCTTCTTGCTCGGATGGACAGTATAAATAACATTTAATATTGACAGTATAAAATAATATTTCATTTCAAATCCATTCACAGCCAGCAATATTTTTCTAAATAAGGTTTTTGTTGTTAGGTTTTTTTTTTCTGATGTGTTCTTATTAACTGCTTTAAAATACATGCTGTTAACCAAACCACTGTCAAATCATTTAAATTAAGTGTGAGAAGGAAAACAATATTATCTAACATAACCACAGTGAATAACTGTATAAATTGCAAATTAAGTTGTATGCGCATGCCTTAAAAAAAGCATAAATCTGTATTCAGATTTCAGATTGAGCACTTTGACATTTGCAGTATATGTAGCTCACTCACAATTGTAATAATCAATAATAAATAATCATTAATATGCTAAGGGAATTGGCATTGTAAAAATGTGGAAGTAGACTTACAGATATAAAAACGCTTGTTTGGTAATGTTTACTCATTGAAATCAGATGTCATGAGAAATTCAGTTCTTTATTTTTAGTAGTATATTTAAGATTGTAACCATGGCCCCTATATTTTTGATAGTAATGTTATAATATTACGTTACTCCCTTTCAGAAGTAACTAATTCCTTTATGGAAAGTAATATGTTATAATACTTTTGCATTGGTGTTTCTCACCTGGGCTAGGCATGCTTGTTTGTTTTTTAATATTTTATTCTAGGTTTTATTTGTATAGAGACCGAAACAATAAACATATATAAAAGTGTAACAACAGCGATCCAATGCGTGTATACAGTAGCTAAAGCTAATTTGCAACACTTGTCCCTAGAATAACAAAAAAGTTCTATTTTTGGCAAATGTAAAGGCACCATAAGTGAAATGAATTGGCCTCGGTGAGAAGGAAATGCAAATTCATGCCTAAACAGTAGAGGGCGCAGCTCAAACCTTTCAGCTGTAGATTACCATTCTGGATTGCAGAAGAATAGGACACAGGAGAAGAAAATTCAACACTCTTAGGTCCTTTCCCAAATGGCACACTTCATATGCACTTTAGGTCTTGTGGACTTACAATGGCTGCCGCGTGCATGTGTCCAATAAGTCCATGAGACCGTAGGGTTTCCCATTTTTCATTTTAGGTTTCAGAAGGGTGCTCGCGAGAGCCCCCTTTTGTGGTCGATATATGCGCCCTCGATGCGCGCTTCTGCCGAGCCCGAACTGAAGCGAGCTCCGCAGCAGATTTTTTTTCGGTCGATATATACGCCCCCTCGATGCGTGCTTTTGCTGAGCCCGAACTGAAGCGAGCTCCGCAGCAGATTTCCACCCGACAGTCAAAGCGCCGTTACATCACAAAAATGCAGACTCATAGTAAGACTGTGACTGTTTAGGGTGCCATTTGGGACAGGGCCTTACTTCGGCAATAACAATAAATAAATAAAAACACAAATGTGATGTTTATCCAAATAACCATCATATTTGCACAGCGCACACAACGCCTCTGCACCTTACTCCCGATTTCTCTCAACATGGGATGAGAAGAGCTGCCCATCAATGAATGGAAAACAAATTGACTTCCATAACTTGTTTGAAAAAGTAACTCAGACTCAGATACTCAGAATGCGGTTTTCTAAAAACAGTCCTCAAGTAAAAAAAAAAAAAGCTTTTAACAAACGTATTTCACTGCACTGCAAGTCACATTTTTAAATGCAAACATTTCTTTGGTGAGAATGACATTACCATCTAAACTATACTTTGAACTTTGGCCTCTCAATTCTAATCACTGAAACTGCTCAAGATAATTCTTAATTTTAGGCTCACTGTACTGTACTGTATATGGGTAAGGCAAAAATAAAGGTTTATTTTTTATGTACTCACGTAATAGAATCCTGCTAAATAAAATCCTAAAACAAGAATGGATCTAAGACTAGTCGATAAATCAGCCATCGTGGCCCACCCGATGCAGAGCATATTTTTAAAGACTCAGATTCAGTGTGACTCAGAGGCAGCGGGAGCACTCAGACCTTTATCCCTCCCACTGCTCATTGTGATCCAGCCTGCAAATTCACCAGATGACATCAAGCCCACTTTAAGTATGGCTGTCACAAATGTCAGCTGAGCTCAGCCGGGCTGTGAAATGGCAGCATATATTCTAGAGGTTTTGTTTCAGCTTAAGCTCTCAGTGAAAAGATTAGTGTCCTCCCTCGACCCAGGCTTGGCGTGTGATTTACTGCTTACTGGGTTCCTTCTGCCAAGATGACTTGCAATTAAGATGCTTTATAATTGCTCCTCTGTGTTAGAGATGGCATAAAATCCATGCCATAAAAGATGGGTTTAAATGCACCAATTAAAATGACTTGTGTGAGATATCTAGGGATAAAATGTGTGTATAGGGACTACCAGATCCACTATGGAATACATTCTCCATGGATGGATATAACATTTCACTAAATTGAAATACTGTATTATTTCCTTTCATTTTTTACATCCTGACAAAGCATTAAAAAGACAGTGATGCATACAAGAATGCTGGCATAAGGGAAAGGGGTTGGTGTAAAAATAAGTAACTTGCCTTGTTAGACAAAGGTCAAGTTATAAATGCCACAGCATAGTCGTGCATGTCATTTTTCTCCACAAAGACATTGCTGGCTTAGTACTTCATGAATTATCAAGAATCTGTGTCATTTTAAAGGGATAGTTTGCCACAAAAATGAAAAATCTGTCATTAATTAATTATTCACCCTGGTGTCGTTTCGAACCCGTAAGACTTTTGTTCTTCATCCGAACATAAGTGAAGATATTTTTAAAGAAATCTGTCCCTCCATAGACAGCTACACAAATACCATTTGGATGCTTTAAAAAGTTCATAAAGAGATTACAAAACTAATCAATAGGAATTCAGCGGTTTAGTCCAAATTTAATAAAGAGACACAATTGGTTTATAAAATAAACATTGAATTTCGTTTTTTTTTTGACGAGGGGGAACCAATGAGGTTCATTCTTGTGTTTCTCAGAGGTTTGTTCTTGCGCGTCAGGCCGGTTCGGTTGAGCTGCCGTTTAAGTTCGCTGATCAATGTTTTATGTAAATAAAAGCCTAAATTAAAAATGTTAATCATAAAAAGCGATCAAGTCACTTCAGAAAATCTAGACTAAACCGCTCCACTCAAATGGATTAGTTTAACGATCTGTATGAACTTTTTGAAGCATCATAGTAGTTGCGTACCTGCCAATGGAGGGACAGAAAGCTCTCAAATTTCATCAAAAAGATCTCCATTTGTGTTCTGAAGATGAATGAAAGTCTTGCGAGTTTGGAACAACATGAGGGTGAGCAATTAATGACAGAAATTTCATTTTTGGTTGAACTATCCCTTTAAATGGACTGAAGAAGATTTCTACAATATCTTGGGATAGTCTTATTGGTGAATGGCAAATGCTTTCTTTATAATGAATTTACATAGGTCTAAAAAAAGACCAAAAAAGAGAGAAGGATGAGCAACCAACCTTTTCCATGTGCCAGAGCCTTATCAATGAATTCTGCCGCTTCCTCAAAGAAGGCACTGATGTTGAACTGCTTAGTGTCATTGGCCTGTATGCCGTGGTACATGATCCCAGTTCCTGTGTAGAACTCTGCATTGGTGTTCACATGCATAAAAGAGTTTCCCTCTGCGACATTCAGTATGTGTGTCACACCCGCACGCTGCAGACGCATCACGTTCTGTGCCACAAACCTGGGGAGGAGAAGCAGAGCACGTGTGAGACTCACCTGGAACACACAAACCAATTTTGTTATGGTTTTATGGTGATGTTGTAGTTGAAACCAGCAATGTTTGAGTCCGAAGTGTGTTGAGACCGAGTCAATGAAACCAAGACCTTGAAATATTACCACAATGTTAATTTTCAATGAAGCCCTGTTCACACTGTCAGCAACCTACAGCTACAAATAGATGTGGACGTGTTCAGTATAAAAAGTAAGAACACGAAACCACAACGGCAAATCTTAACAGTAGTGATGTTCATAAACATTACTAGGTCAACCAGAACTAAGAGAGCCAACTAAAGACCAAAAAGTCCAGCGAAAAGGTTGGCCATCTCAGCAACATTAGTGATAGCAACCTTTGGTGATGTAGTGCGGCTGATTTCAGCGATGTGAAAATGTTTTTAAACATGCTAATGAGCCGTGCTCAAAATTCAACATCTACCAATGGGAGCGAAGAAACTGTTCTATGCAATTTGTCTCTGGCAAGTGACAAATAAAAATTCATGGGAAACCATATCAGAGAAATTATTGGCATTCATTTCTGGCAGCAAGAAAACTTTGTCTTTGACAAAAACATCATTAAAATAAAGTCCCATTCCCATTTATTATAATGTATATGCTCAATTTATGTCGTCTGCCTCCTTAAATGCTCAAGCTCTTTAAAGCAGGAATAGATTCTGATCATTCATCAGGAAATAAAAATAGTTTTGAATGAAATTCCAATTGTTGTGGTGTAAACTCTGCTACTATTTTAAATTGATAAAGATTTTTAAAACTATACTTAGTTATAGTCCTTTGTGTGAACAGGCCTTTACAACTTATTTTACCAGCACTATCTCAAACTCTAAACGTAGATCTAGATTAAAATGTAATGACATTTTTTCGTGTTCATTTCTTTCACTGCTGAATCATTAATTCTTGATAAACTGTTACGTAATTATGTTAAGTACATGTTTACGCATTAGCGATAAACAATGACAATATGCACATTCTCAGTTTGTAGTTCCAACAAACCCAAGACCATGCCAACCTCACCTCAAAGCCTCAACTACGGAACAGTCTGCTGTGTCTAGTTTAAGATTGATTGGAGTGAATTGTGGAGCCGCTTTTAGTTGGCAGACATGTAAGCCGATGTCAGAGGGCCCTGGAGACAGCAGTGTTCGAAACCAGAACAGACACACCAAGGAAATCTTGGCTGCTGCCCAGAGGCATACAAAGAGCCAGGCGTCCAGCGTAGTGCCCAAAAATAGGCCTTCAAGTCCACAGAGAGAGAAAACAAGAGATCAGAAGAGAGCGGAGCAGAATGCTCTGCAATGTAGTGACATTGTCTGTATTTTGCTTTAGCACCTTGAACTCTTTCATCTTTGTCTGCTAAAAATCCAGCCTCTTTATGTCTCTCATCCACTCCTCAGCAGCACCATCCCTCCTTACAATGTAGAAGATGAATGACTGCACATATGGGTAATGGAGAATATATATAGTATTACCTAATACAATTAAAACACTTACCTAAAATTAGACATGACACTGTATTTACATAGTATTAAAAAAACAACTTAACTTAAAACTAAATAAGGATAAAATTTGCAGCCCTTTTGGTTTATAAGTGGAGGATGTAGCAGCCCATCAGTCTGCAGCGTAGTCTCTTCAGTGGTGATGAAGTGATGGACTCTGACTCTGATGCGCCACCCAACGCCCATAATTCAAACTCTCCCCTAACAAGTGAGTCTGTCTATATGGAGCCTTTGCAGATTGTAGTCATATTTCTCCCTGTGTGTGTGTGTGTGTGTGTGTGTGTGAGAGAGAGAGAGAAACAGAGAGAGAAAGTGTTTGCTTTGCATCTTGTTCACCTGTCTTGCACTGTGTTCACTGCAGTCCCTTCACATGCATTATTAATGTAAGTCTTACAAAGAGTGGTGTGCAATGAAAAAAGTGCACCATTGCCCCATACTGCACCTTTACACATGGTATGGTGGAGGTTAGTTTTAACATGAACTGATACAAAAATGTTAGTAGTGACAATGATGCACAAATGCAAATTAAAACATCAATAAGCATCATTTAGGATTTATATATAATCATAATGACTTTATATTACAAAAACAGTATCATTTAGGTCATATCCTACAGTCATAATAACACTAACTGAATAATAATAACCCCAAAGATTTGGCACACTCTTATATCTGCACTCAGTTGCACTCTTATAGCTGCACTCAATCTGAACAAACAACAGTGCAGTACATGATACACATGGAAGTAAAATAATGACAAATGTTTATGAACCAAAAAAGCGTTGAATTGCATTACTTGAATTAAAATGATGGTCTGAAATTCAACATGGTTGTACTTTTAAGCAGTGAATATTTCAATTCAAAACATTTCACACACGTTTTCATCATTAAAAATTAATAATCCATATTCACCTTTCAGGTTTCACTTCCACAATATTCATTCTGTTTAAAAATACAACCTATAATATTCGACAGGCCTGCAATTTTCGGTCCATTTTATTTCACTTTGGGAATCTGTTTTGCAGCAAAGCACCACAATATAAAGTTAAGAAAAGTAAACAACGGAGAGAAATATGTATACTACCTCAGATTTAACATTTTATCTGTACATCAGCATCAGGAAATACGATTATAATCTCATTCACAGTAGCGAAAGCTGCTTACATGTGCAAAACTAACTGTGAAGACTTAAATGTAAACACAGCTTTTGTCTTTATCAGCTTTTCCATATATAAACTGGTCCTGATAATCATCACAAATACTTACCACTTGCACCATTTCTGTAAATCTGTAAACTGCCGTTGCTCTATAGTTTTCTTTGTCAACATGCGCTTGCATCCTGCTGCTGTTGAGGAGGTTGACTAACAGCTATGGAGATAATCAATCGGCAATCTATTGATACTCCTGCCATTCCCGGATGTCAAACGTTGAATTTTCACGACTAAATTGGAAGCGAATTTGTAAAGCGAAACAAATATTTTTGAGAACTAATCCGACTGATGTCATGATGACTGATTTTATCTCATGTTTTCTTTGATAATCTATACAGTTATGAAAGAAAGAGAAAAAAATAATGTACTTTAGACTGTTTACAGCACAAAATCAATTTATAAGGAAAAGCAATTTGTGTGTGTTACTTTAAAAATGTATTCCAGGAACAAGTCAATAACTAAAAATGTACCTATTTTGTTAATGTTAATGGTTAAAGTACCTAATGCAAATTTTAAAGTCAGCATGAAACAAAAGTTGCAATTTAGATTTTAATTTCTTTTGTTAATTTTAATTTCTTCTATGTAAAGCACTTTTTGAATTACCATTGTGTATGAAATGTGCTATATAAATAAAATTGCCTTGCCTTGCAATACCCTTTTCTTCCTATAGACTTCATTTTGTTTGAATGATTGATTGAATAATGGTTTGCTATTGCTGTGATCTCATGTGAGGGACAGGTTGTCCAGCTCTCATGCCAGTAAACACATTATCAGAGAAGAAGAAATGTTGCTGCAAGTGGGAGTGGAGTTATTTTGTACAGAGCCCTGCATATGACATGCGGACAAAAAAATATTGTTCCCACAAATTAAGAATTCATTCCCACCATTTATTAATTAATTTCTTCGTTTTAGTATATCAAGGTCATGTTGAAATTTCTCATTTAGATCTAACTAAGACAAGGTAACGAATTTGTACAACTTGGCCACGATTTAGTAAATTGATGGAGTGAATTATATGTGCGCATGATTTGCACAGTGTACAATTTAAAATAGTCCTTTACGCCACACTGTGGGATCTCAGACGTCATTAATTTCAGACTGTACAGCAGTCAAGATGCATAAAAAATGGATGCACGCAAGAAGTCTCCAGTGTTTTACATCATCAATCCGTGACACATTCGGGAACAAAAACAATAGCGTTAACTTTGTCATGGCTTTTCTTTAAAAGAAAATGAAAAAAAAAAATTCAAGTGATGGTTTGTTGTTGTTCTGTGATCTTATTGGTACGTAGAAAAAATAACAGAGCCTCACATTTCTGACAGAATTTTTGCCGGAGGTAAAATTTGATGGCAGTGGTCATTAATCGACTGTCTGCGAAAATGTCAAACTAGCGATCAAAGACTTAGGATTTTGTACCAGGATAAGAGGAATCTTTTAGGATTCTCGAAATTTGTCTCAAGACGGCCAAATCATGACCAAAATCGTACAGAACCCGGCTTTAAAACGAGAGAACAAATTAGTAAAATGTGCGTATTAGTAAGTCTATTAATACGCACTATTAAGAAGAAATAGTTCATTTGTGGCCAGATATAGGCCAATTGTTGTTTTTTTCCCGCATGTCATGTGATCAAAAAAATTTAATTGTCAATTGTGATATCATGGCAACTTTAAAGCTGCAGTCTGGCGTTTTTTCTCTTTGTCGCCATCTCTGAACCTTTCTGGATCCGCCATCTAATTGATAAGTTTAATTATATCAAGTGCTGTGAGAAAAGGCTATAAATCTCCACTTCCAACATCCTCACACACAGTAGCCTACTAGCCGAGACTCCTTCTTTATGTGTACAAATGTGACGTAATGACGCAAAGACATGCTTGAATCTCCCCCGGAAATCCACCAGTACCACTGGAATTAAAAACATTACAACCGCTTTGAATCGAGCTAAGGCAGCAGTTTTGAACACTGGCTGGTAATGTATTTTCTCAAATATGTAATTTTTAACCCCAAAAAGCTACGGACTGCAGCTTTAACACCTAAATATAAGTTAACTAACACACAATCTGGCTACCTTTATTTTTGTTTTAAGATAACCCAAAAGTCTATACAAAGCATTTACAGACTTTTTGTTATCTTAAAACCAAAAATAGTGGAGACAGTGGACGTGTCATGGATTTTGAAATTTTCATAAAAGTTTATTTTCTTTAGCTCATGATTCAAAGTCATCTTCCAAGATCGATGCAGTTGAATCGGCAGGAATTTTAATCTGAGTCGAGAAAATGAATGACTTATGATAGAGGAAATATGCATTAGTAACTAATAATTTATTACAAAGAAACACGTGACTGATGTAAGACTGAAGCGATTTTGTAACCAGTGATCTCAGAGATAGCAAGATGTTACCGATAGAGGACAGTCGTGAAGAAAAGCAGCTTCCCTTGCAGTCTGACTCGCTATGTAAACGTTATCAATAATCTCCAGTGGTGGCTTCGTGATGTTCTCATAGGTGGAGAGGTGACACACTCGCTGATTTGGTTGTTTCGCTCCTAGACCATTTAAAATATTCGGCTAGTATTCACCGGGAGGTTTTATTTATTGATCCAGCTACAGATCAAATGCCAGTGCCACCTCCTCACGAATCAACACATTTGACGAAGAGCTGTAAGCAGATACCTGTCAGTGTTTTCCTGCTATCAGAAGCAGACAAGTCTGCATGAGATCGTTTGAACTTACGCATTGCCGATGTAAATCCTGGGAAAGACCTCGTTGAAATGTTGTGCTGGGAGGCTATAAAAACCGCTGCCGTTGGACAGCAGCTTGTTGAGTTGTTGTACAGTCGCCTCGGTGTCTGGTATTGTGACTTCCAGTGGTACCTTCGCGGGGCTGAGATGCTTCTTCATGCTTCTGTCCTCCTCCAAAAGCAAAGCAAAACAAAAAAATAAAAATAAAAGAAACAACAAGTGTCTAGTGATGAAGATGTGACAGCTTTCGAGAACCCAGCATTTTATTTCCCTCCCCTCTCGGTGTTATTTGCGAGCTTTCTAGACGCTTTCGCAGGCAGACAGACACACCCGGACTCGCCCACCGGCGGTCTGATGTGATGCTCCGGTGATGAGGTCGGTAACAGAACTGGCGGAAGATGGCGACAACGCCCCGATACACGAGTCAATGAGAGCGGCGTTAAAGGGGACTCTACTCGCTCGTCGAATCCATCCACATTTCAGACAGGTAGACAGCATTTTGCACATGCATGTCGGTTGTTGTGCGTAAAATAATGCCTTTAAAGCTCATTCTCAACACATAATCCGTTTAGTGACTCCCATTGATCTATTAACACGGATCATCGACCCCTCCCTTCGTGTGAGGCTAGATTTGTGTGTTAATTGATGTTGTGACAGCCAGGCTTAGTAAAAGTAATTAAGATTATTTATTTATTTCTCTCTCTCTCCTTTATTTATCCAACAAGTGGCTTTTAACCCACATATTTTAACTCTTTATGAGGTCAAATTTGACAGACCCCGAATTCAATTACAAGCGCTCCAATTTGTATTACAAAGAAGGTTAACTAAATATTGAGTGACATAATTTGTGTGTGAGCATAAAATGTGTATGAGCTGTGTATATGAGCAAAAAAAATATATATATATTGTCCCCACATAATGTAGGCAACCGGGGCCCACGGCCACTTGTATGGTTTTTTAAACAAATAAAGAATATGGCTCATGTTTTTTATTTGAATCATAGCCACACTAAAACTGAGATCCTTGCAAAGTTCACATATTAAGTGATTTATTTTGCCTAGTAAATTTTCACTCAGAATATAAAGTGTATTTAATAGCACACTAATACTCTAGTCATTCATTTAAAGAAATATATTACTTTCCATCATTTTTCATCTTCCATCCTAGAGTGTCATTTTCCAGTATTGGTGTTTATTTTTATGAACTACTTCTGCCTTGTGAGTATCATTAAAATAAATAATAATGCATTGTTTCATGAAAGCATGTAAACAAAAATATCCTAAATTTGTAATCAACTATTAAACCACTAGAGGGAGTAACAGTACATGTATTGGATTTTAAACAAATCTGCACAGACAGCATTTGAAAAGCCTAATGGTTTAAGGGTCAAGACACAATGTCAATAAAATAAACTATATTTCTCTTCCTTTTCCTATTTCCTATTTTATGTTTCTAAAATATATGTATTTTTTTAAGTGTAAAATATTTTTATTTGTCCAAAACATTACTGAGTGCCCATTTAAAAAATTTTTTCCAAGTGCAAAAGAAGAAGAAGAAAAAAAACACCTGAATTTACTGACCAAAATACAGGTTTTTAGATATATTAATTTAAGTAAATAAGTGAAATACATAAGTGAAGCTACCAGTATTATCTTTATTCCAGCTGTTTTATGGATAAAACTCAGCTTGTCACAGAATCCAATAGACGACGTTGGCAGAAAAGCTGATCAATGAGAGGAAAGTGTTAGAGCTGGTCTTGTGTCTAATAACAGTTGACCACTGCTGTGACCTTCTATTCTACAGTTGTATAAATACAATCAATCTGACTGGTTAGTCTCTGATTATATTTTGGAGCGGTAAGCTTAGTACACTTTTTTATTGGAATGTCAAGTCTAAATGTCATTGTCTGCATACTCATTGTGACTTGGATGACATGATATTACAATATAAAGCCAGCCATTGTCTGTTGCCATAGCAATAAAATAAGGTGCCATGCAAGACCATAGCAACGAGCCTTTCAAAAAGATGCCTAAGATCCCAATTTATTTATTACTTGTGTTTACATTTCCTACAGAGAGAGTTCTCGTGTGGATTTCTCTTCATAAAATATAGCCAAGGGCATGATTTGAATATTTTGGAAGTAATGGGTTGGGGGAAGGACTGCATCAGTTCAATTGTCTTTTTATTGGCAACTTGGGACTCTCTGTATGTCCATCCAATTAATCCAAGAAAAAACTAAACCACCTGAGACCCCGATAACACAATTTTATGCATGCTTTTTTTTAACATAATTATTTATATTGCTGTAATAACTTTTGATTGTCATGTAAAAGAATCATATTTTCTACAGAATATATATATATATAATGGATTTACATTATAACTAATTTCCAGCTTGTTGGTAATTTCCAATTTCCTTTTATAAGTAAACAAAATATTGGTCTTCAGAAAACGTATCATATTAGTTCTTTTTTACTACTTAACATTTAAAAATTATAAATATTTCGAACAAAAATAAAAATTATAATATGTTTCATAGTTACGTTAAAGCTGTACAATTTTGAGCTTATTGCAAATTTTTAATTTTCTTTTGTAAATTTGTCATTTATAAACTTTTAAAAATATAAATATTATTTCTTGCAAATATAATTATTTATAGCAAATATACAATTCTTATATATATATATATATATATATATATATATATATGAGCTAGACCGTAATAAATATTTATTGCATATATAAAACAGTCTGCTTTAAACGCTCAGAGTGAAGTTAAATGTCTCCTCCAAATGTATTTGGCCCTATCAAACATAATGGTTCTTAGAAAATTAATGTATTCAGGAGAAAATCTCACTGCAGTAGTCAATAAAATGTATCATCCAGTAGGTGGCACTCTGCTCTAGTTATTTAATGGACATTTGTTTATTTGTAAGGATGTCACCAAGATGAGGACGAGCTCTAAGCATGTTATTATCATAGCAAATCGTGTTTTGCTAATACAACACAGCAGTCATTCAGATTGTAACCTTGGCAATGGCATTTTTACTTTCAGCATTTGCTTTCATCATCACGGTCAGATCCTTATGGAAGAATATATTACTAATAATGACCTTCAAGAAAATATAGCCCCCTGAGACAGCACCACACTATATGGTACTCGTGCATAATCTGACCATCTGTTTGCCGAAGCACCTGGAGCAAATGACAGCAAGGAACAGAGCCTGACTTTGCAAAGAGACACCAAGAGAGTTTCAGAGACTCTGCAGACTGACCTCCTTTACAATTGTCAGTTGTTGTGGGTGGCGCATGAATCTAACACTTGAGAAATGAGGTCATGACTCTCATGTTTGTCATTGAGATGAGGTCATCTGGTCCTCAGCCGTTTTGTTTTGTTGTCTGCGTTAGACCTGAGGATTATAATGTTTATTTAGAGCAGTGAGGGTTAAAAAAGATGCATTTAGTTTTCTGCATTCTGTTCTTTTTTAACTGTTAATAAACACCACACATGTTTAATAAGGGAAAAGTATTTAGCCTTTATACCCATTAAGGTCTGACCATGAGATCAAAAACCATCGTGATTTTTTTAAACCCTTATAGTAGATATTGTGTGCCCACTGCCCAGAACATGTTAAATTTGTAATTTAAATCTGTGGTGATTTGCACTTTCTTTGAACCCCCACTGCGTTCCCTCTCCTACTTCACTGGTGCATAAATAAGCAGTGGGACGTTTTCTAACCTGAATAACAGGACAGAGCTCACAGAATCTCTGCACATCTTAAACACACTTGACAATTCGTGTTCATCATTTATTGGGATTTAGGTCTTATAGGTCACATAAATTTAATATAAAACATTACTTTTTAACATCAGATAAATTCATATTTTTATTCAGCATGGATGCATTAAATTGAACAAAATGACAGTAAAGACATTTGTAATGTTTAAATATATATTTTTTCTATTTTTCTAATAAATGCTGTTCTTTTGAACTTTCTATTCATCAGATATCCCTAAAGAAATGTATCAGGGTTTCCATAGTAAGCAACAATTTTTTTTTTAACATTGATAATAATAAAAATGTTAGCTAATGTAAGCTATATTTGAATGATTTCTGAAGGATCATGTGACACCGAAGACTGGAGTAATGATGCTAAAAATTCAGCTTTGCATCACCAGAATAAATTACATTTTAAATTGTTAAATAGAAAACAGTTATTATCAATCGTAATAATATTTCACAATATTGGTATTTTTACTGTGTTTTTGATTAAATAAGTGAAGCCTTGTTGAGCACAAGAGACTTCTCTTATTTATCTATATAAAAAATCATACTGACCAGGAGTGTATATTTTAGATTTTTTGCTCTATTTGTTTTCTACATTATTTCTAATATTTTCTACTATGTTGCACAGTATAGTTCATTGCAAGTTAAATTATTAATGTTGCTATAGCTTATAGGGAGTTATTATTGCATTATTCAGTACTCTGGGAGTCATGAGTATTTTGTGTTAAACAGCTCTCATAAAAGAATAAAACATGTTTAAAGAAATACATTTTGACAAAAGACACCAGATATATTGTAGCTCAAATAAACCGGGGAGTGTCTCCAAAGTTGTCTAAACAATGCTGATATAACTTGATGCAGAAAGCTGAGATACGTTGTCAAGGGAGAGCCCTCATTACAAGGAGCATAAATCGCTTAAGCTCTCGGTTTGTCCCCTCTACCTTACCGCATTTTTGTAAGTTAAAGCTAGAAGACAACGGCACACAAACCAAATCTTCATCAATCTTCAAAAGTTTATCTAAAGCTCTTTGCACCTTTTATAACAGACGTCTTATCAAGTAGGCTACATGTGCGTATTTTGTGTGTTGTAGTTATTAGAGTTCTAACAAGCATGCCAGACCAAATTAGAACGAATACAATAGTGGTCTTGTTGAACACAAATAGCTTAGTTTTTCTTTTAAAAACTGTAGCCTATTAGTGAAAACAAACGAACAAAACTGATTCTGTAGAAGTGTTGTGATGTCTCTTCCTCTCATCACCCGTGCCATGAAACAGTCAGTACTCTACAGTTTTCCACATCATGAGTTCAGTATGTAACCGGCCCTGAACACACAAGCCCCGATGGCTGTTTCTCAGAGCTCTCTTATGTAAGTTGAAGGCTGCACTTGTTTTCATTCTCTGAAAGGGCTGTATCTTTGTATCTTTGTTTGAATCCAAATCGATGACTGCTCTGTCACATGAGGATTCAGTCCTTGTAAGCACAGGGTTGAAATAAGAGTACAATTATCTTATGCGAGTTAAATACTTGGAAACTTTAATTATACATTTTTTGACACCAAATTGTATGTTTCAGAAAATATCTCGCTGCA